TATATATATATATATATATACGTATATATTTATATTTATATTTAATCCTCACCTCAGGATAGAAAAGAAGGGAGGGAAGAAGGACAGAGAGAGAAGCATTGAGGTGAGAAACATTGATCAGTTGCCTTCTGCCTGTGCCCGGACCACAGATGGAACCTGTAACCTAAGCATGTCCCCTGACAGGGACTTGAACCTGCAACTTAGGTACATGCTGTGACCAGGGATTGAACCTGCAACCTTTTTGGTGTACCAGATGATGCTCCAATCAACTGAGCCACTCCACCAGGGCTGTGTAAATATTTTTAGCTCTTCCTTTGAAATCAAAACATTAAATTAAACTCATGTGATTTAAGGGAAAAAAAAGAAGACACATTGCCTAAAGACAGGTTTAGAGTCCGAAGGAAAGAACAGAGTTGGCGAGCATCCAGTCTGTTTGCTCCAGCTGTCAGTTAAAGACAGCAGGCTTTTCTCTGCCTTGATTTTATCTGGTTTGGATATTGGCAACATGAATCTGAGAATGCCGAGTTCCTACATTTCTCCTGAGGCTGTATGGTACCCACTTAAATCCCCAAGGAAGCAGATAATGGTTTCCTTTTTCCCTTTTAATGGATTGTTTTATATTCTTCAGTGACATTTTATTATTAAATGATAGCTTCTTATTGTAAAAATGAAGAACAATTGCATTTTCTAAAATAATTGCACTACACCACCTCCGTTTCCAGTCTTATAATCTCTGCACAACTTTTCATCTGTGATCACTCTGCATATGCAGTTACACGTGGCTCATTCAGCTACACAGCATAACCACATTCCAGCTGTTATGGAGCACATTATGAATATAACTGCAAAAGGTACCTGATAATTCACTCTAAGGATGTACTGTAATTTAATAAGTCATTCTCCTTTATTGGACATTTAGAATGCTCCAGATTTTCATTATTATAAGTACTTAAATGAATGCTATTAAGTCATTAAGCTTTTTTCTGTATCTATAAGGGTAAGCTTGGAAGCAGAAATTCCAGGACAAAGGTTACCACCATTTCTAAGGATCTTGACACATATTACTTTCATTATTTCTAAATTTCAGTACTATCAGCAGTGCATAAAAGTGTCCTTCATGACACCTTTATAGTTAACCATGTTTATTTTCTAATCTTAACTATATTGATAAGAGAAAATGGTACCTCAATAATAAAATTTACTGTTTTATGACTTATAAGATTGAATAGTCTTCACGTACTACTTACCATTTGTATTTTATTTTATTGTAAAATGTAAAATTTCCTTTGCCCATGTATCCACTGGGTTTTACTATTTTTAAAGTGGATTACATAAACTCTTTTTTGGAAGGGGCTGTGGAGATATTTTTTAAAATTTTATTAAGTTTATTGGTGTGACATTGATTAATAAAGTTACATAGGTTTCAAATGTCCTATGTAATACAATTCTGTAATACATCAGTTTGAGTCTGTACTTTTACTTGCATTGAGATGTGTCTTCTGAAGGCAGAATATGGTTGGGTTTTGGTTTTTAACCCAATCTGCTACTCTGCCTTGTTATTGGTAGTTCAGTCCATTTACATATAAGATGATTATTAATGTATGATAATTTCCTATAGCCATTTTATGTTCTGGCACCCTGTGTGTCCATTTTTTTCCTCTTGTGCTTCTGTTATTTTAGTTTGATGGTATTCTTTCCCATTCTTTCTTTCTTTTTTTATGGTATGTGTCTCAGTTCTAGTTCTGTGTGTGCGTGTGTGTGGTTAGCATTTAGGTCTATGTAAAAGACAGTTTATTACATACAGTAGTCATTTTTCTTCAGATTTCATCTTATCTCCATTGCCCTGTGCAAATCCAGATCTTTATCTACATTCTTTTATGTTTTTATTGTCACAAATTGTCCTTTTTTATGTTGTGAGTTCATTTCCAAATTGCAGTAGCTCTATCTTCTTTTTTAAAATGTTTTTACTTCTTTTAATCTTTATGTTATATTTAAGTGTGTAATACCCTACTCTAAATAAGAATGGAAATTTTTGTTTCTGCCTACCCATGAATCACCTTAAGCATGTCTATTTCAGATAACCTCCTATAGTATTTCCTGTAATGCAAGGCTTGTGGTGGTAATTTCCCTCAGCTTCTGTGTCCTGAGAAAGTCTTTATTTCTCCTTCATATCTACAAGATAACTTTGTTGAATATATTATTCTTGCCCAGTAATTTCTCTCTTTCAATAGTTTGAATATTTGATTCCGCTCTCTCCTAGCTGGTAGGGCTTCTGCTGAAAACTCCAATAATTTGGTGGGATTTCCCTTATAGGTTACTGTCTTTTCCCTGTCATTAATTTTTGACAGTTTTGATATAACATGCTTTAGAGAAGGGCTTTTTTAGATGAGATAATTATGTATTCTGTCAGTTTCCTAGATTTGAGGATCCAGATCTTTCCTTAGGTTTGGGCAGGTCTCACTCTGAATAGTGAGAACTGCTCCCCCACTTCTCCCTCTGCTATACTCACTGTTCTTATGCTGTTTTTTTCTGATGGAGTCGATCTACAGGAGAGATCTTCTGATGGAGAACTAATCTACAAGACAGTTCTTGTAGAGTTCTTTTATTTTTTTTACTCTCCAATCTCTCTCTTTTTTCATCTATGTCATTTCTAGATTTCTACCTTCAGTGTCATTGTTGTTGCCTCCTTCTTCCTAAGGTCAGCTCTTTTTTTCCTAAGGTCATTAGTTCATTTTCCTTCTTTTATTGAGGTTTTCGGCTCCAGAATTTCTATTTGGTTCTTTTTAAAAGTGTCAGTCTCTTTGGTAAAGTACTCCTTTTGTACATTGATTTTATTTCTGAGCTCATTAAACTGCCTAACTTTTCCTATATCTCACTGAATTTTTTAACTGAGATCCTGAATTCTCTGTTATTTAATTCACATATTTCCATGCATTTATTTTTTAATATTTTTCAAATTTATTTTTAGACAGAGGGGAAGGGAGGGAGAAAGAGAGGGAGAGAAACACCACTGTGTGGTTGCCTCTCATGTGCCCCTTACTGGGGACCTGGCCTGCGACCCAGGCATTGCCCTGATTGGGAATCGAACTGGTTACCCTTAGGTACGGAGGCTGGTACTCAATTCACTGAGTCATACCAGCCAAGGCCCATGTCTCTATTTTCTGAAGATTTTTCATTTTCTTTCTGAGCTGCCTTGATGCCTTGGTTATTCATAGTATTTGATGGATTATTTCTCTGCCTTGGCATTAATGGTAATGAAATCTGCTTTTTAAAAGAGTGTTTAGCATTTCTCTATGTAGCAGGTTGGTAGGAAGGGCTCTTTCTTGTGATTTCCAGCAGGTGGCACTGATGCACATTTTTATTTTCCACTCAGCCTGACCACTGGGGCAGGAGTATTGACTCTAGTTCTCTACTCCCCAGGACTGCAGAGTGTGCAGGCTGTGATCTGATTCCTCTCCTGCTCATGGGAGCTCCAGGCTGGGTCTGTGGCACCTAGCTCTGTTCTTACTCCTTCCCTTCTTCTCCCTTCACTCTGATTCACCCATTTTCAGATGCTTCCATGTGCGGATCTCCCAGACGTGTTTGTGTGTTAATAAGCAGGGAATCCTTCGTGGAATCATAACTGTTCAACTTCTAACTTCAAGGGGAGAGACCAGGAGGACCTCTCACACCACCACTTCTGAGGTCACCTTCTACACATTCTGTGTATTAAGAATATTAGGCCTTTGTCATATTTGTTGCAAATATTTTTCAAGTTATTTCCTGTTAACTTTGAAGTCATTAAATCTATAGATTTTGTTCCTTCTTGTTTTATCCATTGCTTCAAAATTTAGACAGGTCTTTCTCATTAAGACATTTGACATATATATTCTTGAATTCTCTTCTAAATGTATTAATGACTTAATTTTTTAATACCACTGATTTAATTCATATGAACTACTCCCTGTACCAAATAATTAATTTTCCCAGAATTATATGCAGAGTAATTATTTTTCCCTTACTAATAATTGATAAGAACTTTATCTAGTTATACTTTTATGTGAAGATACCAGCTTTTTAGCAGGACTGGCTGCCTTCTGTTGTATAATCTTATAATTTCATCCACAAAATATAGAATATACTCCCCTTTACCTCTGACTTGGGACTTGATTTCTATGACTTGCTTTGATTAACGTCCTTGTGACGAGAAGTCACCTGTGCCAGTCCTGATCTAGGCCTCAATATATTGTGGCTTCCTACCTGCCTTTTGAGCCGCAGTGAACACCTGCCTTCTCCTCCTGCCTGGGCCCAAAGGAAACACACAGGGAACGGTGCCGACCCAGCCTCCGTGCGATGGGCAGGGTCAGCAGCCCACTTGGCCAGGGCTAGAGGAGGCAGATCTGCTCCCTGCACTCGGCTCGGATCTCTTAGCCTCCCAACCAACTTGTAGGAGTGTGAGCAATAAATTCTTCTTGTTCACTGACACTGACATTTTAGGGTTATTGGAAGAATTTTTGGGAAGAGTGAACTGACTCTCCCAAACAATAGAAGAAAGAACAAAGGAAAAGAAAGGCATAGGCATTATAGAAACCTACTTGGAGAGATAGACATTGCCAGATATGAAATAGTTACTTGGGATCAAAAGTAGAACAAGGATCCAGTGGTTAAAAAACAAACAAATAAATAAGTAACCAAAAAAACCCCTTTTAAGGTTAAACACATACTGGCACTGACAAACTCTCATGGCAGAAATGCATGTGTTTTTCAGCTAGACTTTAAGCTGGATTTAAACATAAGGTGCTCACTCCAAGAAGTAAATAGGAAAAGAAAAGAAAAATAGTATTTAAAAAAATTTATCCTGCTTCCAAATCTTCACTGAAAATCTATATTAAGTTTGAGTTTTCCTAAATATGTGTTCTAAGTATTTTCTTCACTTATTTAACTACCTACACAAACAAAATAGACTTATACCCAAGATTTTGCACACAGCAGACACTCAGGTATTAATCTTAATCTCTCACCTTCTGCTGAAATCGACTTGGACAGAATGATCAATTACAAGATCAGCAGGACAGACAGGGTTTATTTTCTCTGGATCTCCTCCTAACTTTTTCACAGCATCACGCATTGCAGCAAGGTCAACCACAGCTGGCACACCCCTAAGAAAAGAAGGAATTAAGCAAAAAATAAATTTGTCAAACACATGTAATTGAGTTTTTCAGCTTTTGTCTTCATTGATAAAATTGGCAATGAAACTCTCTCATCAGTGGAGCTATTAATGAATGACTTAGAAAAGTCAAAGCTTCTGAACACATTTCCCTGAGCTGAAATCACATCAGCAGTAAGTCCCGTGACTGAGTGGTATCTCTACATGCAATTTTATCACTGCGTTAAAGTTAACAACCAATGTGGTCTGAACGGAGAAACTATGGGGAAGCTGGCACTTAAAAACTCTGGAACTTCTACTGCTGTGACTGTCTCCCATTCACATGGTGGGATGGCAAAGGCCTGGGGAAGACACATGAACACATATTCAACTTCTGACCAAACCTAAAAGAATGGATATAGTTTAGAAAAGTAGGCTGTGAATCAAGTTTACAAGGGACTCCTTCCTTTTTATTATATTAGAGTATAAAATTTGGGTGCTCTTCCCCTAGAAAAATAAGATTCGGTGTCTAGAAGGAATCAATTAACATCATTTAAAAATAGACAGGTAGTACTATCTCAAAAAAGAGGCCAGGTGGGGAGCAAAGATTCCTGAGAATAGCAGGATACGAAGGAGGCTTAACAGAACTACAGAACTGCGTATCTCCCCTCAGGGGGCTGCACATCAACGTTCCAAGTACAGCTGTTTGAAACCTGTCTCCCTGCGACAGAACATGGGGGAGAAAAGATTCCAAGATAATTCCACCTCTATTTCTTTTACCTTTCACTAGTATATTGAGGACTACAATCTTCAAGACCAAGACAATGATGGACTAGAAAAGATGGACTGATTACATAGCTCAATTTGTCTAAAGCAATCTCTGGCTGTCTAAGATTAATAGCCCCCTTTTGTTTTCAAAGTTGTCTGGATATCAGGTGATAAATTATATAGTCACTGAGGTTCGTTAGTTTTCTTAAAGCTGTCTTTAATGTCTGACAAGGGAGGCTGGGGAGAGAGTCAAGCGGCGTCGGGCTCACGTGAAGTCATGCAGGATGACACGGGCAGGCTTAAATGGCACCTCTATGTTCTCATGCTGCATGACCTTCCAGTTCAGGATATTTTCGGCATCATTTTTTTTCACCAAAAAGTCATCACAGTTCCGAATGGCTGCCTCCAGGAGAATTCTGATAGAAAATGGCAAGCGTCCTAGGATAACAGAGAAAGCACAGCAAAATCAAACCAAAAAACCATGAGGCACCTTATTTATAAGAGCTCCTTTAAGCCCATCTGTATATAGACTTGATACAAGCCATCAGACTATTCTTCCAACAGGAAAAATGGGTAAATAAAAACTGACCTTATAAGTTTAAAATATGAAGACATCGAATGGGTTTAGGATATATTTAGTACTAGAAAGTAGCCACTGTATAGGCAAAAGTAAAATATCACAGTTAATCCTCCATAATAAATGCTTACCTTGTTCTGGATTCCAGTAACAGGGTTTCCCTTAAGTCGTCATGAAAGAAATCAGTGTAGATATTTACTGTATTATATTTTAGCAGGTAACACATACACACAGAGTAATATTTTTCATGAAAACTAGTGTCTAAGAAATGAGAAGATAACTCCTTCACAATCATTGTAATTAAGACCAAAGTAGAATCACATATCTTCCAAAGAAAACAAGACCCCAGACAGCAGATAGTGTGGCCACTGGTAACTGGGATTTCTAGGATTAAAAAAATGATAATTCACAGGAAAAAACTACTCTGTTTATTTAGAAAGGAAATGTTCCATCCTGATTATGAAAAATTTTCACCAGTATTATTTGGTAAAGAGAAGAGTGTAAAGATAGAAAAGCACAGGATTTGGAATAAAAAAAAAGATGTGTTTTGTCCTCTTTTGCTCACATATAGTTGTTATTTGATCATTTGACCCTCTCAGGGGATTCGGCTTCCTCAGAACTTCTTACACTTTACAGACATGATCTCTAGAATTGTTATTTAGATTAAATGATATAATACATATGTACGAACACTCCACATACTAAAAATGCTACATAAATGCTACATGTACATAATCATTTTTACCTACTTAAAAATGAGCAATGTAAGGGGCGTGTGTGTGTTTGTGAAGCTTAATCTAAGACCATTCAGCCATTCTCGTGCTCTGCCACTACTGCTTTCAACCCTCCTAAAAGGTTAATTAATTACACAGCATAACCATTATGGAAATGAGATACTAACTGCTGTCAAAACAATTATATGATAGGGAATGTACCTACCATATCTTGAATCATTCAATTTATTCAAATTAAAGAATTTCTTCTCTGGCTGTGCAGGATCCAAAGGCTCAATGAGCTGTGCAAATGGGTTGCTCATGGTTCCTGGTGGTGCGCCCCTGAAAAAGTGCAAACATGATTAAGTTCTACTTTCAAAGCTGGACCTCATTTATCTCGATGAGCGTTTTCCCTCTATAAAAGTTTTGGAACACATTCACTTTAAGAAATCACTCATCTTTTCAGGGGAGAATGTGGGGCATAAATGGTACAAGAATGATATTCATAGCAAATAAAATGGGTTTCTGTGAAGGTACTGTGAAAGTTGTTATTCACCTCTCAAGACAGCATAAAATCCCAAACCTCTTTTGTCTTTTTTCTTTCTGCAATTTCCCTACATTTTTCTACTGATGAGAAATAAGAATAAGGGAAATGGAGGACGTGTCTCATTTTAAATCTTGGATATTTGAAGAGACCTTTGAGCTGGACTCCTGTCTTGCTTGACAGGAGGTAAGCAGGTGAAATTATGCAATTGTATAAAACTTGAAATTTGGAAGTGGGGATTTAAAAGCAGCTGCTTTCTGTTGTAAATCTCTGCAGACTTTTAAGTAAATGTGTTGATCAGGAGTCTTCCTGAGGCACTTTTGCATCTGATAGCAACAGAGTGTTCAGGTCAGGGAATCTTTATGGTGACACTGTGGTAGCATTAAGGCCAAGGTCCTCAGGTATGTTTGCAGAGAACCCTAACCCCAGCTCTGGGAGGAGTTTCTCAAATGTGTATCTTTTTTATAAATTTTAAGTGGCGAACAAGGGAAGACACTGTTCCTGCCCTCCACACAGATAAACAATGATTTCAAATAATATACAACTCAAAGTAGAACGCGCTGAGGTAGGTATCACAAGACTTGCTTTCCAGTCCTACTCCCGGGGGGAAAATCCTTTAATCAGTCCATTCCCCAACAGTCTAATTTAAGACAAGAATAGTAACATTTTCCTACTTAATCCAAGGTTTTCATGAGTAAATATTTAAATATGCAACATAATTTTAGGATGACTGATATGGAATGATTAACATATTACTGTAAAATGACAAAAAAAACATGCATAAGAAACAACTATTTGTGGAGCTAAAAAGTGACAAACAGGCCATGTCTTCATTAAGACATATCTGGACTGGGAGGAAGACTCAGTTTTCATTGTATTATCCTTTTGTAATGTTTGTATTTTTTAACTATATACATATAACTTTTTGAAAACATTAAAAATTTAAAAGAAATAGATATTTGTACATCTACTGTGTCCAAAGTCCAGTACCAGTTAGTTCTGAGGAGAGGCAGCTGACTGGGAAGCAGTCCCTGCCTTCCTGGGGTTACCAGGACGAGAAGGCAGGCCAGACACCTGGACAAGAGAACCTGAGGGAAGAGCAGGGTGGGTGAGCTACATGCCATGTGACGCTGGGAATTGCTTCTGTCTCCAAGTTCAATGTGGGTTTTGAAGGAGCTGCCATCTGGGGGGACAGGAAAGCTATCTGACTCAAGTCGGGCTAGTCAACTCGTTTTTTAGGAATTCTGGAACTGGAACTAAATAAAGGAAGGCTTGCAAGAGACACTGAAACATACTGGAACAGTGCTTAAAAAGGTATGTGCCCTGGAACCTGCATCAGAATTACCTAGGGGTCTTTCTTGTTAACAATACATATTTCTGAGTATCCCCCATGAAGTACTAAATCAGAATTGACTGGGCGTGGCAGGAGTCAGTCTTTAATTTCCCAAGTGTTTCTTTTTTTTTAAATTTTTATTTTATTGATTATGCCATTACAATTGTTCTCTTCCCCCTTCATTCCCCTCCACCCTGCACCCCCACCCCCACCATTCCCCCCTTTAGTTTATGACTACATGTCTCAAGTTCTTTAGATTCTATATTTCCCTTACTATTCTAGCCCTTCCCCTATCTATTTTCTACCTACCGTCTATGCTACTTATTTTCTGTACCTTCTCCACTCTTCTCCTCCTCCCACTCCCCTGTTGCTAACCCTCCATGAGATCTTCATTTCTATGTTTCCACTCCTGATCTAGCTGTCCTTTTAGTTTGCTTTTGTTTTAGATGTGGTTTTTAAAAACTGTGAGTTTGCTGTTCTTTCACTGTTCATATTTTTTATCTTCTTTTCCTTAGATAAGTCCCTTTAACATTTCATATAATAAGGGCTTGGTGATGATGAACTCCTTGAATTTGATCTTATCTGAGAAGTACTTTATCTGTCCTTCCATTCTAAATGACAGCTTTGCTGGATAGAGTAATCTTGGTTGTAGGTCTTTGGATTTCATGACTTGGAATACTTCTTTCCAGCCCCTTCTTGCCTGTAAGGTCTCTTTTGAGAAATCCGCTGACAGTCTGATGGGAACTCCTTTGTAGGTGACTGTCCCCTTAGCTCTTGACTGCTTCTAGGATTCTCTCCTTCATTTTAATCTTGGCTAATGTAATGATGACGTGCCTTGGTGTGTTCCTTCTTGGGTCCAACTTCTTTGATACTCTCTGAGCTTCCTGGATTTCCTGGAAGTCTATTTCCTTTGCCAGATTGGGGAAATTCTCCTTTATTATTTGTTCAAATAAGTTTTCCACTGGTGGCTGTTCCTTTCCCCCTTCTGGTACCCCTATAATTCGGATGTTGGAGCGTTTAAAGATGTCCTGGAGGTTCCTAAGTCTCTCATTTTTTTTTGAATTCTTGTTTCTTTATATTTTCCTGTTTGGTCATTTTTTCCTTCTTTCTAGTCCACTCCATTGATTTGAGACCCAGTTTCCTTTTCATCACTATTGGTTTCCCATGCAATTCTCTTTATTTCAATTAGTTTAGCCTTCATATGTTCCTCTAATTTGTGACTAAAATCAACCAGTTCTGTGAGCATCCTGATCACCAGTGTTTTGAACTGTGCATCTGAAAGTTTTGCTATTTCTTCATCACTTAGAGTTATGGACTCTGGGGCTTTGAGATCTTCTTGAGCCATTTTTGGTCTGTTCGCACCGGTCAGGCTGAAGCATTTGTTGTTATCAGACTTCCGAAAAGTTCAATTTTCTGTGTTCTGGTTGTGTTTTCTGTTGCTAATATTTTGTTGTCTCTAAACTTGGTTGTGTAAGAAAGCACGGCATCTCCACCTATGCCTCCATCTTGGCGGAAGTTCCCAAGTGTTTCTAATACATTTTCAGTTTGAGAATCATTGCTGGCCACTGTGGAGTGCTAGGTGAGGAACTGAAACTTCATTCAAGAGGCAGTGGTGTCCCACGAATGGTGTATGAATAACACAGGTCATGTGTGAAAAAGAGCAGGAGTCACAACCAAAATGCCTCCATGCATTAGGCAGGGCACCTACACAGTGAGCAGGCAGCAGAGAAGCCAGGAAGCTGGGATGCTTGCGCCTAATAGGGCAGCAGCTTTGGCGAAGGTCTGCATGTAGAAAGGCTGGCTCGCGGTGTTAACCAATCCATGTTTTCAAGCAAGGTTGGTCATCTGAATTTTTATATGCACTCTCTTGATTTATAAATGTTGGTTAAGTAAAGATCTGTAAACTACTATGTGGGTATGCAACATGATGTTCAAACCAAACACGCCTGTAGGTTCTATCTAACTGGATCTGACTGGTGGTCCACCCTCTGTGACCTGTGTCCCATCCTAACCTGGGAGATATACTGGCCTGGAGCAATGGTAGGGTAACCGGACAGAGAAAACTCCGGTAGGAATCTACCAAAAGGGTGGAGATGAGACAGAACTTGGATGGGCAACTGGGTGGCATCGTTGAAATGGAAAAGAAGTAATGGATGGATTAAAATGCAAAGAGGCAAAATTTAGAGAAAATGCTGCTAAGTGAATAGGGAATCACAGGGGGAAGAAGAAATACCACTGAACTCCAGGTATGAAGAAAAGGCTTTAGTGTTTCAGGACAGAATGTGTTTATGATGAAGTGGTCCACAAATGCCAGAGATCTGTTCTTCATCCTCACTAAATGAGAAGCCAATCAGGAGGGAAAATCCTATAGAAATACACTTTTTAGTAAGAAACAGGCTGGCTTGTCTACAGAAGGAGATGGTTACAAATCTGTGGGCTTACACAATGAGACTTACTCATCCCACTGACTGGAATTCTAAAGATGTCAATTTAAAAAGGCAGCAACACCACTCTCCATTTGATTTGTCACTGATGCTACTGCCCCAGACATAACTTTTCTACCCCAAACAGCAGCAACTGAAATTGTAGAACTGTCATTTCACCTGCCTGAAAAATGGATCAACAAAAGAGTGTCTTCAGAGGCTGTGGGTCACGTCAGAGTCCCCAGAGCCAGGGAACATGGGGGAAAAGCTTCACAGAATAAGGCAGGGAGGATCACTCACATCTTTCAAAAGCCTCAAGGAAATTCTGGACATGATGGAAGCACAGGTATATATGCTTTCCTTCCTTGCACAACCAAAAGAAGGAAAACAACCAATTTAAAAACCCAAAACAACCAGAACTTCCAGAAAATCAAACTGTAAGGAAGTCTGATAACTAAGGAGTTAAAGAAGAAACATTCATCCTGACTGGTAGGAGGGGCAGAGATGGGAAGCCAGGAAAGAGAGAATGCACAGCAAGTTGACAGACCAGGCCAGACGAGGTGGCAGCGGGTAGACCAGGTGGTCACTCATTCATGTATGGATAAGCCGGGAGGAACAACTGGGGAGCCAGGCAGAAAACACAGCCCAGGGTTCTAGTGCAGGAAACTAAAGCCTCAAAACCTCCAGCTGTAAAAATCTGTAGGGGTTGTGGCAGTGGGAGAAACTCCCAGATTCATAGGAGAGTTCATTGGAGAGACCTACAGGGTCCTAGAACAGACAAATCCACCCACCCAGAATCAGTGCCAGGAGGGCCTAATTTGCTTGTGGGTAGTGGGGAAGTGACTGAAAGCGGGGCCAGAACCAAGTGAGCAGCATTTAATCCCTCTCAGACACCTCCCCCACATTGCCCTGCCCTGGTGAATACCTAAGGCTATCCCCCTTAAAATGTAACAGACAAGGGAAGTAAGGCTATCCCCCCTAAAATGTAACAAGTACACAGAGACAAGTAAATATGGCCCAAATGAAAGAACACAGCAAAACT